ATACCATTCCTCTCTGTAATAGCATTTTTATTGTATAATAGATATTATCTATAAGTAATTGTGTATAAATGGTGACTGATAAACATCAGGTGCAAATCGCTTTGCAACAATGAACTAGTTTTGAATGAACATGAGGAGTAGAATTAATCTCATTCTAACACTGTATGCCTAATGACTAGTCTAAGGCTAGACTACAATCTGTGATCAGTGCCGAAGATTGGTGGCTTGAGTTGCTCCCTGGACAAAAGACCAGGAAACTACCTTAGATATTGAAACGCAAATATTAGATACTTCAGGTCCAAGAAAAGTAACTACCAGTAGACTAGTTTGGCATTAAAACTGGAAACTGAATCACCTGAATTGAAAAGCAAAATGTTTTCATTTCAGTGTGCTGTTGCGAGTCCTCATCTGCACTGGTTTTGGTTGCCACTTCCCAGGTTCCTACCCTGATTCGATCTCCACGTTAGCAATAAATTCCCTCTTGGTGCCTGCTGGGGAGTCCAGCCTGTGGAGGAGGATGGCAGACCACAAATTATAATATTCACTTCCCAAAACACAAGATTAAATATTTTAGCTATCTACCAAAGCAGTTCCCTTTTTGGTCCAGTGTTGAAACAGATTTAATTTGTCACTGGTTTATGCTTTAAAAAAAACACCAAAAACTCAGAAAAGTTGAGGCTTAGGTATTTGGGGATTTGATCTTTAAATTAGGAACTTGAAGCAGTCAATTGGTACTTATCGCTGCTGTTTTGTTACCCATTTCACTGCTTCCATAGTGTGGGCAGAGTATTCCTTCATGAAGCTGAAACTCACTGTCTTTTCTCAAAGACCCTAATGAAGATAAATTGTGCAGTCAGCAGTTGGTTTTTTTCCAAGAATTCTTCTTAATTTTGCACTTTGTGGATGGTTCCTGCTATATTAGATGTCTTTTTCCTTTGGGTGCAGTGATCCAAAATCAACAGAATAAGAGCTACAGGATGTGGAAGAGTGCTGCACAACTTTGTCTATAGCCTGCCTAAAGCAACCTTTCAATAAGCAGGCATTCAGTTACATGGGACGTACAGCAGAGCTGCGGTCTGCTCTAGGGTGGCTGAATCATTCATGCTGGAATCCCTTTGCCTATTACTACTCTGGACAAGAGTGGTACATCTGCACAGCTAGAAGGGCTTTTCCATCCATAATTCTTTGCACAAGGGAATTCTAGAGTCAAGAGCGGTTGATACCTTCCATGAGGTGCTTGCATGTCTGATGATGTCCTGGAAAATCAGCCTCACCAGACCCCCCTTTGAGCTTAGGGTCTATGTAAGTAGGATTGCATTTCTTCCAGATAGGGAAAAAAACCACAGCTAACCCATGACTGAGTTTAAATTCTCATCTGTACAGTATTTTTAGAGTGAAAAGAGAAGTTCTGACTGAATTAGAAGTTGGCAATATATTGAACTAATTACATTTAGTACTGAGTTAGACCACACTGTGGCAGTACACTCCCCTCTCCCTCCCCCCCATCCTGCCAGCAGGAAACGAAACTTCTCCAGGCAGGGAGAAGAGGAAAAAAACCCTAAACCCTGGAGGCCGCAGGTTGAAATTTGAACTGGCCCATCAAGATGCACCAGGTACACTGAGGTGACCCTCCTGGCCAATAGGGATTAAATGACCACCGGTCAGATTCGACAGGGGTATAAACGGGGTCCGCTGGAGGACACATTGGAATCAGTCCTCCTCGGAGCAGCGGGACTCCCCCTTGGGTTGGGGCACCGCCTGAGGTAACTCCTCAAGGGAGGGAGCCCTCAGCTTTTAGGTGAGCGATATGCGTGTTTTGGAGCCATCCCTTTAAATCTTGGGGATTCTTAAGTCGGCCATGTAGTATTAATTCCCTTTACATCATTGAGCCTGTGGTTTTATAAAATGTTACCGGACTTCTAACTAACTTTTACTGAAGAATAAATCTGAGTTTTAACACCTATTGGATTTGGTTAGTTGTGCATCCGTAACACATACCTACCTGAAAGAAACGATCTGAAATCACTGGAACTAAGCTTAGTTATTTGCATCCAGGCCATGTCTAGTCCAAGGCAGTAGTGTAAGAAAGTTTCTTTAATTTGTGATTGCAATGCATTTCTCTCCAAAGCTTGCCAAGCTAGAGTCTGTGACAGAGTAGGGTTTAACTGCTAATTAAATTACTTGGAGTGAGTAATCATTTCTGTTTTGACTTTACCATAGGATGTGGTTCTCCAGCTTGTCCTGCTAGGACTAGATACTGCACTCATTAATAAAGAACAGGACTGGATCTTCTGTTCACGAGCTAATTTCTTTTTACTGCCATGTATCGGATGAAACCTGGCCCCTTGCACAAATCCTTGTCACAGCTCCCTTGGACACTGCAGAATCCAAACTTCCTCTGGTACATTAAGATGGGATGTCTGGGCCACATGGCTTTAGCCAGGCACACTGGGTGAGGCCCAGAGTCTTCTAGCTCAGGATCCTGCCCCCAACAGCAGCCAGTAGTGGATGCTTGGGGAGCGGTATGGTCACTAAGTCAGAGACTGTGTGATATCTACCTCATTATGGCCGCCCAGCTTCTAGCATTCACTGTTTTATGGACTGTTGGAGAAGGAGGAAGCATAGCATCTAATACCCCTTCCAGATTTATCTTCCGTTAATTTGTCTAACCACTTTTTGATTTCATTCAGGCTTTTAACCTCTGTATTGCTGGGGGGCAATAAATTTTGTAACTCATTACATGTTTTGTGGATAAGTACTTCTTGTTTTCTACTGCTTCTAAATCTCCCCTCTGGTAATTTCTGTGGATTCCCACTAGTTCTTGTTATTATGAGCAGTAGTAAATAATAACTCCTTGTCCACCTTCTCTGTGCTCTTCATGATTTGTAGACCACTGTCAAATTCCCCCTTCTCCTGGCTGAAAAATCGTGTTCTACTTACTCTTAGCTCATACAAATCTATGCCATTCAAAGTGCTATGTAAGCAGTTGTGGCAATTAAAAGAGGTAAATTAAACATACATCTGGGCACAGAGACTTAGAGGCACTGTAAAGTTGTGGCTATAGCTGACTTTATTGGAAGGCATCTTCAGACTGAAAATCAGGGCCTTAGTGGAGGCCCTGATTGATATGGAGATCAATAAGGATGCTCACAAAGGGATTCAGCTATGTCTGAGCTGGAGAACAGCATCAAGCCGCGTGATAGGCATTCTGCAAATCTCTGCTCCATTCAAATGCTGCAAAATATTTATCGTCCATGCTGAATATAAGCAACCAGGCTTTCTGAAATGATCACTCAAAAAAGTCACTGTACAGTAACTTCAAAGATACTTAGTTTTGCCCTCCAAGGATCAAGGACAGTGTTGTCCCTGTTTTATTCTGGCCCAGTTTTGGGGGAGTTAGGGGTTTTGAATCCAAAACCCAAAGACTTTGGTGCTACCAATGGACTGTCTATTCCTGTACCCCAGGAACTGAGAGTCTGCTGAACGGAAATGTTTTTAGGAGCAAAGCTATTCATACACGAGTCTCAAATTATCTTCAATAGCATGCTCAGCCAAATCTTAAAAAGAATGCAAGTACACATTAATTAAGAATTAACATAATTATGTTCCTTGAGTATGGTGTTTATTAAAATATAAACTGTGAACATACACTTGAGAGGAAGCTTCTAAATATTTTTAAAAGCTTAATTTTCAGTCACCCTTTATTTTTTCATTAAGAGAGAAGAAAGAAGACGGCACTTGACTTTCTAAAACTTTCCATTTGCTTCTCAGATACAGCATCAAAAAGTTGCTGAGTGCCCTTAACTCTGCTGATAGGGCAAAATCAGGAATGATTTAGATTTGTATGAAAAGCAGAGACATGGGATGACACTTTCAAAAGCGCCTGAAAGCCACAGTTGTGAAGCTGTTCAGACATCTAAAGGACCAAGAAAATATGCAAAGGGATTTTCAGGCATATGTGCTGACCATTAACGTTTTCACATTTGAATTTTGAGAAATTTACATTCTTAGGCATTGAAATGCTTTTAGAAATCTGTCTGTTGTAGTACCACAAATGAGTTTTTAAAAAATAATTCGATGATGGAAGACCCAAGTGCCTGGTCACTTCCACCAGTTTGGAAAATTGGATTTAACCTTTGTCCTGCCACACCAAGTAGTGTAACAGCTAAATACTCTTGTAAGTGTTGATGAACAGTCCCTCAGTAATAACCTGAGCTGTTGCAAAATTCCATGCGGGGACAGACAACAGGACACCAATATGATGATCAAAGTCGCCAGTTTATTGAGCCTAGCTGATCATTCTTATACAATTCTCTAAGTTCCGAAGAAGCTTTGATTGGCTGCTACTTGCAAGCATTTAGTGTCCATGCGTACAAGCATAAAATGTGATTGGTTGTATCAACACTGTACACGCGTATAAACATAAGATATAGTTGGTTATGCTAACTCTGTACACGCGCATAAACATAGGACATAACTGGCTATATTAACTAAAACATGCGAAACTTGTCTCAGTCTAATTGGTCGAGATAAACTGCCGAATTGAGGTTGTTTGTGCCAAGTTCCCTTTATCGTGGAATGCGCACCTGTGTTTTTCTAATTGGGATCTTTCTTTTTCTGTCTTCTTGTTTATTCTGTTCAAGGCCTTCTAAAGGCGTCTGGAATGCTCTTGTGACTGTGAGCTACTTTCAGGCCCAGTCACTAAGTTCCGTATAATTGACTCCTACACTGAGCTCTCACACCACCTCACAATTAGCCACACTGTTTGGAAATACTAATGGTTCACAGGAGGCTTTGCACTCCAGAAAGCATGTTTCTGCAGGCTTGCTGGTGTGGGAAATGGCACAGCACAACAGGCACCAGTTTGCGTCCAGATACATCTCACAGAATGAAGAGGACAAAGTTTGTTAATTATTCTTGGCTCTCCCTTCAATTTGTGTTCCACTCTACCCTGCATATCTGTTTTTCTGCTGGCTTACTGAACTTCTTGTGTTTTGCAGAATGCCAAAGCCAGCTACGACTTCAGCAGTAATGATCCCTACCCCTACCCCCGCTATACAGATGACTGGTTTAACAGGTAAATGGATTTTGATCAACCTGCTCTTCACTTTGTTTTGCTTAAGAAATTATATGCATTTGCTGGTATTTGTGGAGTGCCTGTTTTCTGCTAAATTCAATGGTTGCCAAAACAGAAGCTGCAGTCTCACTACTGTTTGAAAATTAGAGGTTACTTATGACTTCATTTTTTTTACGTAACCTCTAAATAGCACTGAACAACTATTTTGTAGTTTATGAATGAAGTTGCTGCTTCAGAAATGTATATATATTTAGATTGTTTGAATGGATGATAGCCACATACCTTTTTCTGTCAGCTATCCTAGGACATTATGGTAACCCAAATCTGTATAGGCTGGTTTCCCATCTACTGTGTCTGAGGCAGTATCACTGCTGGCTAGTTTTAAAGGGAGTAAGCTGGAGACAGAAAAAGGCTTTGCAGGGGAAAAGTCTTTTCAGCTGGTTGTAGACTAAGAAGGCAGAAAAGCAGCAAGGTGTAGAATGACCAGTTTAAAAAAATTAAATCTTACATTAGGTTCTGAATCATTTGTCTTTTCACCTTGATTTAAGGACAGTGTACATGAGTAGCATTTCAGGGCTGATTCTGGGATATTTCTAGCTGCTGGAGGAATTAAAGTCCACATACACCAACCAGGAACCTGTTCTATTGTGTTTATAAACCTGGAATCAACAGTGCAGCTTGTGTTATTTCTTCTGAACACGTCATGATTGCCCAAGACCCACTCCTCCTTCAGTATGTTCTGAACTTAGCCGGTTTACAGCAGGAGAAAGTTTGGTCCTCAAGGCATGGTATAAATAAGAATGGCCCCAAAGAAAAGGCTTCATATTTTAGAAAGTGTGACCTTTTTTGTTTCCCTAAACTAATTTTTTCTTAAAATGGAACAGAAACACATTTTGACAGTTTTTTAAAAAACGTGTGTGCCCTGAGTTCTTCATCTGTCCCATGAAAAAGCCCTGTCTGTCAGGTTCCTAGCAAGATATTAATGTAGTCAAGGGTGCAGAGTCCAAGGCACAACTATAAGGTGTGTTTATTACCTGGTGATCTCAGCATCCAGAATCTCTGGCTCTGCAGCATACTCCCCAGGGTCTCAGGCAGGTTCTGGCTTGGATTTGCAAAAATTGTTTCAGGTTATTTTCAAGGAAATTTCCAAATGTCTTCTAGATGTAAATGTAATTGGCATTGCCAGCATTTACACAGCAGCACCACTGAGGATCTGAAAACTCTTAAAGGTTTCAGGGCTCAATCTCAGTGCTTGCTTATCAAAAAATATTTCAGGCCTATTTGATGTGGTTTTCATCTCCAACTCACTATGGCTGTATTGATGGCCTCTGAGTTTTGTATGGGGTTTTTTTTGGTTTTGTTTCTAAAGAAATCAATTTTAGTTCTGTCAAGAGTGACACAACAAAGAAGTGGAGCAGCTGTGCTTCCACCTCAGGCACAGGCTTCCTGGAATGGATCAAACAGATTTAGGAGCTGTGATGTCCTCCTTTGTAGTACTGCCATTTTTCAGCCAAAGCAAGATGCCAGTGAGATTTCTCCTTCATTTCAGGAAAGGACATCTGATACTTTTAAACTAGTATGAATCCAATTACTGAATGGAAAATTGGAGAAAGACTAGGGCTCTAATTTGTGAATCATAAATCAGAATGGTTTGGGTTGGAAGGGACCTTAAAGATCATCTAGTTCCAACCCCGCTGCCATGGGCAGGGACATCTTCCACTATACCAGGTTGCTCAAAGCCCCATCCAACCTGGCCTTGAATACTTCCAGGCATGGGCCAGCTACAACTTCTCTGGGCAACCTGTTCCAGTGCCGCACCACCCTTACAGTGAAGAACTTCCTCCCTACACCTAATCTAAATCTACCGTCTCTCAATTTAAAGCCATTAACCCTTGTCCTGTCACTACATGCCCTTGTAAAAAGTCCCTCTCAGGCTTTCTTGTAGGCCCGGGTTAGTTACTGGAAGGCTGCTATAAGGTCTCCCTGGAGCCTTCTCTTTTCCAGGCTAAACATCCTCAACTCTCTCAGCCTGCCTTCATAGGGGAGGTGCTCCAGCCCTCTGATCACCTTTATGGCCCTCCTCTGGACTTGCTTGAGCAGGTCCATGTCCTCCTTATGTTGGGGCCCCAGAGCTGAAAATAGTACTCCAGGTGGGGTCTCGCGAGAGCAGAGGGGCAGAACCACCTCCCTCGAACTGCTGGTCACGCTTCTTTTGATGCAGCCCAGGATACGGTTGGCTTTCTGGGTTGCAAGGGCACATTGCTGGGTCATGTTGAGCTTCTCGTCAACCAACACCCCAAGTCCTTCTCAGCAGGGCTGTTCTCAATCCATTCTCCGCCCAGCCAGTATTTGTGCATGCGATTGCCCCAACCCATGTGCAGGACCTTGCACTTGGCCTTCTTGAACTTCCTGAAGTTTGCATGGGCCCACCTCTCAAGCCTGTCAAGGTCGCTCTGGACGGCATCCCTTCTCTCCAGTGTGTTGAACGCACCACACAGCTTGGTGTCATTGGCAAACTTGCTGAGGGTGCACTCAATCCTACCGTCCATGTTGCTGACAAAGGTATTAGACAGCACCAGTCCCAATACCAATCCCTGAGAAATGCTACTCATCACTGCTCTCCACTTGGACATCAAGCCATTGACCGCCACTCTTTGAGTGCGACCATCCAGCCAATTTCTTATCCACCGAGTGGTCCATCCACCAAATCCATGTCTCTCCAATGTAGAGACAAGGATGTCATGCGAGACAGTATCAAACACTTTGCACAAGTCCAGGTAGGTGATGTCGGTTGCTCTTCCCTTACCCACAAACGCCACCCAATTTGTCAGGCATGATTTGCCCTTAGTGAAGCCACGTTGGCTGTCACCAATCACCTCCTTATTTTCCATGTGCCTTAGCATTGTTTCCCGGAGGATCTGCTCTGTGATCTTGCCAGGTGCAGAGGCAAGACTGACTGGCCTGTAGTTCCCTGGCTCTTCCTCTTTTCTCTTTGTAAAAGTGGGGGTTATGTTTCACCTTTTTCCAGTCAGTGCGAGCTTCCCTGGACTGCCACAACTTCCCAAATGCGATGGATGGTGGCTTAGCCACCTCATCTGCCACTTCCCTCAGGACCCGTAGATGCATCTCATCAGGTCCCATGGACTTGTGCACCTTCCGGTTCCTTAGATGGTCTTGAACCTACCTTTTCCTACAGTGGGCGGTTCTTCATTCTCCCAGTCCCTGCCTTTGCCTTCTGCATCTTGGGCTGTGTGGCCAGAGCACTTGCTGGTGAAGACTGGGGCAAAAAAGTTGTATTGTATAGTGAAGGTCTGCTGCCTTTCTTGCTTTATTTATGCAAAGGATATTTGTAGGAGAATGATATCACTTAGCTCTGGAGCAGCATGGAGGAAAATTAAATTCAGCTTCATTGGGTGATGGTAGCTTCTGTCATTTTCACTGTGGAACTTCATAAAACTTAAGTGTGTTCTGCCAAGTCCCATTAACACTGATTGTGCTGTTATCAAGTATTTTGTAGTGGGGCACAGTTTACAGGCCTCACATGTTATGGAAGGTGGCCCTGGAGGCAGAGTTACCTCCTAAAGTCTCTTAAAATGGGCCTCAAGCATCCTGGATGTGGCAATGGTTATGGTCTCTGGCCCCAGGTGCCTCTGGCTAACTTCAGGCACCCAAGTGAAGAATTGAGGGTGAACAGCATGGTCACCTGTGACCCTATCTGTAACTATTGAGAACAACACGATTCAGGTTTTCAGAGAACTGCAACACTTCCTTCTGTTTATTTTCTTGAGGGGATGGGGAGCTCAAGGCAGCAAGTCAGGAGGAGAAAAGCAATGCAGAAATTGCTTTGGAGATTTCCATTATTCTTTCCAGAAAAAAATGATATGTAGAAAGTATAGCATTCTTTGTCATGAACCTTGAGGTTTCTTTGGTGAGATAGGGAATTTTCTGCCTTGCAAGGTAAATCATGGAAACAAAACATTCAGTAAAGCATCCCTTTCCTGCCTGCACGATTCAAGAAGGCTTTAATTTAAGATGCAAGATTACATGTTTTCTTCAGGCTAAGATGCAAACCAACGCACCATACCCAGCTGTTCAGCAGTACTTATGACTGTATTTTTCTCTGTGTATTTCTTTGCTATACTGTTAATCAAGCTGATGTGTTCATATATAAGCTATTGTCATAGCTTCTGACTCCTGAATTAATATTATTAGTGGTAGGTTACAACTGTCTGCCTGTGACAGTCTGTTTATCCATATGTGTAGCTGCACAGGAGCGTCTGGATAGAGAATAGTTACACGGAAAAGCCATTCAGAGAAACCTGCGAAAAAGGCTCCATTTTGCTCAGTTTGCAGTCAGTGATGTATCTCCCATTGAATTTTAAGCATGCAGGAGGATCCGACTCAAAATAGGATAGTGTAATATCCCTTTTTCCATAAAGAATGCATTTCTATGTGAGCAATTGAAGTAATTTGTGGAACAAGAAGCAGAGGACTGTTTTTTAAAGAGATGAACCAAGGGCTTTTGTGAGCTGCCAGCTGCATGTGTGAAGTGTCATTAGACTTCAAGAAAAAAAGGGAGAGGTTTTTGCTTGGAGTATCTTATTAATCGCAGCTGCTCTGCTTGTAAGCACAGATTCCCCTTCCACATTGTGCTTTTTAAAGCTGCTGGAAGCACTTTGGCCTTTCCATCTTAACAGCCACTGGCCTATGAAACCAAGCAGGGTGATTTTTGGAAGGGGAGAGTGTGGTGCCTCAGGCAGGGAATTGCAGTTGGGCAGTTCAGCTGCTGTTACAGGGAGAAGCACATAGATGACTGGACAGCCAAGGGATTTATTCCCGTGTTTACCATAATGACTGTGTTCAAACCCACAGCTTGGGGACCAAGGCAGGATAGGGGATACTGGGTGCAACATGGGGCAGGGCTCTGTTTGAGCCTGAGGAGCAGTGGGAGCAGTGAAGGAACCTGAACCAAGCCCTGTTCACAAAAGCAGAGGCAGCCCCACAGCACTCAGAGTGGTTTTTAGGAACCAGTTTGGGAACTGCCTGTGATTTTTAACACCCACTTCTCCTGAACCACATTCAGTACCTTGGCATGTACCATGTTGTGCAGTGTGGAGGTGCCCATAGGAGTCAGCAATAGCTTGGCCTTTCTGTACAGCCCTCTGATTTCTTGTTGTAATATGCAGAAGGCACAACTCAGAGCTCACCATCTCAGAACACTGAGATTACGAATTTCTGCCATGATATAAATAATTATCTCCACTCCTGTAGCCTTTGTATTCTGTATATTCTCTCACTCAGATAAGAACTGGGCAAAAATTATGCAATGTCTTGGAAACCCATATTCTTCAGAGGTAAAAATGTTCTTTACTTATGGATCCAAACAAAATACTATTGAGTCAAGGAAAGAACTCCCCTTGGCTTCCAGGCAGTGCTCATTAACAGGGTAAAAACACCTGCTCCCCTCCTCCTCATTTTTCAATCAATACAATGGAAACAACATAATAATTGAGAATTTGTATAAACAGATTTAGCAGCTCTTTCTACCTGCAGTGTTATGACACAAGTGTCAAGGAGGAGCCACAGCGCTACTGCTGGTTCTTGGCATGTTTGGATGCAGGCAAAGTGGCATGTTCCCCAAAGTAAGGGAATGCTTTCCCTTGTGCAAACACTCAAATGCTCAGAAGCTGACAATGTCATGTGAGTAAGAAGGGGATGGCATTTGCCCCACAAAAGTGTCCCTCTGAGCTTTGTGTATTTAACTGCTGCCCAGTGCAAGCAATTAAAGCAGTCAAGATAGGCAGATTGTCCAAGCTATAAAGACTGCAGCTCTGCATAGCCCTCCCCTGCAGACAGCCGAAGTTAGGAAGGATGGATCCTGTCCTTTGCTGTCTGCAGAAGCATTTCAAAGCAGATGAAAAGGAACCTCAATGAAAATCTATGACACTTCTGGCTCTTTTAAAAAATATGTCAATAGAAGGGCATGCACAATAGCACTGGCAGTGAGTTTTAGAAATAGTTTTCGAAGACAAAGCAGAGTGAAATTTTCATAACTAATACAGATATGTTATTTAAACCAGCTGAAGGCAAAACTGTTTTTCAGTTGAATTGCCCTCTCCCACCTTAACTTTTCATGAATGTTCATGTAAAATGTTTGCATTTATATAACGTTTATGGAAAACTTGCTCTACATGCTTATATGTGACTTGCTCTACATGCTAATACATGGTTTACCTTTGAAGTAACTTGTTCATAGGTGAAAATATTCTTAATTGTTTTCTATCCCCTTGTTTTAAACATGGAAATAATAGTGAAGAGGTGAATGTTGGAGAGAAAAGCTGCGATTTGTGCCCATGACATGGGTCACTTCATAGAAACCACAATGGGTTTATCAATGATACATGAACAGCAAATAGGGCTAAATTGGAAAAGTCTGCTATTTGCCATTAATAATTGAACCAAATGCGTTTCCACTAACTCACGTGTGTTTTTTTTTCCTCCAGTCAGCAGCACAGTATCTAAACCCTGAGCTGCTGGAACAGGTCTGCTTGCAGTCTCCATAATGTGGGCCAGTGTGCTGGGGAGGTGAGGTGGGGGAGAGGACCTTCTGATAAAATCTTTTCGCGAGGAAGGTCCTAATACAGTTTTTCCCTCTGTGACAGTAAGAGCTCACCAGCAGTGTCACCAATTTTTTGCGCCCCAGCATCAGTCAAGACAATTTTTTAACAAAGCTATTTATTCTGCTTTGTGGCTTGTAGCTAGCCCACAGGTGACTAGATAATGAACACCTAGCAACGGTATATTTTTTTCACAGTTCCTTGAATAAGGGCATGAGGGAAAACCTGCTTGATTGTTGAAAGAAATTTCTCCAGTAGCTGAATAAGAAATCTGTATCACTCTCCTCTCTGCCCCCTTTGTAAAAGGAACTTGCATGAGATCTTCACCCTTTCATGATCAAGACACTGTGTACATTGGAGGCCAGTCATTTTCTTTTGTGGAGCTACCTTTAAAAAACATTCTTCCAAATACAGCAGGAAAAAGAATTGTGTTGCTTCTCACCCCTTTCTTAATGTTACACTCACCTTTGCCAGGGGTGTTTAAAGGGAGAGAGAGAGGAAAAAAAGATGATTAAAACAAAACAGTTCTGCTGCCTCCCACGATGGTTCATGTGGTACTCTGTATGCCTTTATAATACAGCACTGCTAATTGCATGAATCTTTAGCATGCTATGGGAGCAATGTCAGTTTTAATGCACAGAGTGGATTGATGTGCGCAGTAGGATGGATTCATATTGATTCAACATCTTAAACTTAAAAAAAACTGACAGCAGCACAGGTTTCACTAGTTTCTCTGCTGCTGTGCTATTTTTTTAAAACCAGATTATATTGTCCATATTTATCTTCTCTGTGGTTTAATATCTGTGATGAAGCAGGAGAAAGGAAAATGCAATCAGCCTTCCTGCAAGACTGCCTCAGAGCGACTGCCAGTTAAAGAGTCTCTGTTAAGAGCTGTAAAATACTTCAGAGAAACCAAGTATTCTTGAAATGCCACATCAACCCGAACCTGGACCTCTGTGTCAGATCACAGACATTTCCCACTCAAGCAGAAAGCAGTAGCTCTGTGAGCTGACAGCTGGAGCACCTTGTCAGCTCTCCTGGGAATTCGGCACTGGAGGAGAGGGATGCACATGCCCTTAGGTCCGGCCAGCTTTGGGCCTGGCCAGCCAGGCCACAGCTCTGCTGCAGAGGAGTGCAGTGACCATTGCGACTTTTTCTGCTACTCCAGCTTGATACTGCACCCACCTCTTTCTATAGCATTTCTTCTGTGGGCAGGGATAGGCTCCTTGTACATGTTTGAGCAGCAAAAGGGCAATTGGACTTTGTTCTGTGGGGTTCAAAATAATGGGTGTCACACTATCAAGTCACAAAAATAAAGGAATTAATACTGATTTTATTTTTACACTGTTCTGTCAAGGGCCTACTTCTACTAATAGTGGTAACAAGGCAGAACCTGTTTGACAGAGTTAAGAAGAAAAGGTCTGAATAACTTTACAACTAAATGAAGTGTAAGTATGCATGTTAACCTCAGAGCAAGTGTGGCTCATACTGCAGAGGGGAAGTCCATGATCTCCTGCTTCAGGAAGGAATGAGCTTATCCAAGTACAGCACTCAACAGTTTGCCATGGAACAGTTTTCCTCTGAAGCACTAGGAGCTGACTCCAGCTCAATTCAGCACACACATTATCTGGGGTTCACATGGTGTCTCTGTCTTCCCTTTTGCAGCCATGGGACAAGGTGTGCAGGAGAGGTGTCTGCTGCTGCCAACAACAACATCTGCGGCGTGGGAGTTGCGTTTAACTCCAAGGTGGCAGGTACGGTAGCAGTTCAAGGTGTAAATAGTTCTTAACACCACTGTGCCTCAGGCAGAACTTCTGCAGAGACAGGAAGCATTGCCCAGGACAGGACTGCAGGTTGGCACTGGGCCATGTGTTTATTACTTTTCACAGTAGCTCCATAAATTCTCCATGGCTTTGCCTTTTCAACTGAGGGCCTTATACAGCCTCTTTAATAACATTGCAGAGGAACAGCTCTGCTCCCTCTTATGCCAACTCCTGTTTGTGTGCTGAGTTTCAGTGCTTCTTCCCTACATAGCTGTAGAATCATTTGTGACAAATCTCATTTTGCGGGAGGTAAAATATAAATTCCTGCTGCACTTAGAAAATATTTGAAAAGGCAAATCCCACACTGCTTTTATTCTTTAGGCTGTCACAGGGCAAGGCCTGCAGTGCTGTAAATCTCTGTAGTCATTGGTTTTCTCTATTTTAACAAGTGATGCAGAGCTGTAAGAGCAGATGCACAGAATGAAATGGGTGGTACCAACCACCCAGCATTCACACCTTGGGTGTGTTGAGTATTTTTACTTCTAACTAGCTCTTGTCTTCACTGATAGACTGAATACAGTGCTTGGAGTGAGTTAGGCTCTTGGACAGCATGTGTCAGTTTAATCTGAAGAAATCCAGTTTTCCCACTCTAAGACTGTTCCATGACGAGAACCAAGGCACAGCAAGCAGAGATAGATGCTTATGAATTTCACTTTCATTCCCCAATCCACACCAAAACACCAATGTGGATGCGCCCACTGCTCCATGGAAATGGGTCACAGTGTGCGTGCATGGGCAGCGCTGCTCTGCGTGGCCAGTCCCTGTTTCACTGCAGTGTCAGAAGAATCTGGGAAAGGCTACATTTCACCCGTCACCTACATGATCGAAAGCTGAATCTCCTCTGCAGAAGGGCACCAAGCAATGTTTGCTATGCTTTCTTCAGTAACGGTAATGTCCCCTTCAGGGATGGGACATTTCAGAAAATTTACATTCTGGCAATAAGCTACTTTTAGAGGAATGTCAATTGAGGCATGGGATTTTGGCTGGACCTCATCTGTATTATTAGTATAACTCTACAAATTCAAGCTGGTTGCTTAAAAACGAAGAGGTGAAGGCCTTTTTTGTTGACCAACAGCCTACAAATAATCTTCCCTACTTGTCCACTTCGTAGCAAAATCCCCACAGATTTTTGGAAGTGCCAGCCCTTCCTGCCTGAGGACAGTGTGCGCCTGTAGCACCACCGTGTGGTCAATGGGAACGTGGACGTTGATCAGAACTGAGGGTGTGCTGCTGACATGATTCAGGGTCCATGTTTGTGGGTGGACTTGGAAGTTGGCAGCCAAGGATCTGGGGCATCGTGTGTTTTGCTGCTTGTACCTCTTTTTTGCCCTAAAGTCAAACCAGATGGCTTGGCTCCTCCTGTTGTTCCCCCGCTTCCCCGGGGTCAATAATTCTGTGATTTCAGTGCAGATCTGCATTTTAGAAGCACATGAAGGGATTTCTCACTCACTGAGTTTGACTTCATAATTTCTAGCTTGAATTAGCGATCAGAAATATCCAGCTTTGGTCTAAATTCTATTTGAAGTTTATACCACTTTTTCCAGCCTCACGTTTGGCACATGGATTTTGTATTCAAAGTAGTAAAAGCACTGGCTTCTAAATCAGGGTCCTCACTGCCATTCACACTGGCTCTGTGGTATTGATTTCTGTCCCATCTGTGTCTTAAAACTATTGGGGAAAATAACTTCAACTCAGGGCTACAAATAAGAGTTGGAATGTATCCCTGGTTACTCAGGTCTCATCCAAAGGCCACTGAGAGGTTGGCTATCAGTGAAACTGTCCTGTGTGTGAGGCATGATGGATGTGAGGGCTAGTGCTGCTGTCTTTGTCACACTCTCTGGCTTGCTTAGGGCCAACACTTCAAAGTTTTACAAAGTTGGCATGTCCTAGGATTGTATCATTCAAACTCTAACTTGATTTCTACTGCAGCATGGGTTAAAGGAAGCAGGTTTTAGTTTGCTTTTTTTCTCCAAATACTGGCCATATTTTGCTATTGCGTCTGCATGTTGATACAATGATGTTTTTCCAGGAAATTGTTGTGTAGCGTGTTTCCCCTCTCTGATTAAATTCTGGTGAAGAACCAAAATAAACAGAAAAAAGTATTTGAAAAACTAATGAAGTGTCAATGCATTGCTGAGTATAAATTAAAGAGGGGAGGGGCTTAATCCTTTTCCCTAGTTGTTACAAAATATTACTTTAAATACTATTAATATTATTTAAATGCTATGAAACACTGAGATTGCTGAATATTACTGTTTTAAAAGTGTTTTCAAATAGTAGATGGAAAATACTATGTAATTAGAAAGCTAGCAATAAAGCGCTTTCTCTTTCTGGGCCATGCTGCATTGCTGTGGCTGGGTGTTTAAGTGCTGCCATCCTGCTGGGTAAGCACACCCTGGTGAAATGTGAATGGCGAGTGTGAAATTACTGAGCGAAAGTGCCAGTGAATGAAAGTACCTGTAATTGGAGAACTTCCCCAGGTTCTGAGATTTCATCTTGTGCTGGGTAATGCATGTTTATGTTGATTAAATCTACAGGTATTCGAATGCTTGACCAGCCATTTATGACAGACATTATTGAGGCTTCCTCTATCAGTCATATGCCTCAAGTCATAGATATATATAGTGCCAGCTGGGGACCAACTGATAATGGAAAGACTGTGGATGGACCTAGAGAGCTAACACTGCAAGCAATGGCAGATGGTGTGAACAAGGTAAGTCTTATTAAATAATCTGGGTACTGGAGTGGAATGATATGTACACACTTACGCTGAAACCAATGACTTGGGAATACATGGTCGTCCCATAGATGTTTCAGAACACAATGCAATTGTGTAAGCTATCCCAACTTTCAGCGTATTCCAAGGTCTGTTGATGTTCTCTCTGCAATATTGTGGCATTGCTTTTATTATACAGTCTCGGGATACCGTGCTGTCTTGCATAGAACTGTTTTTATCTCTAGTCAGCTTAGATCTGCTTTTCATATGCCATCACAGTCCAAATGTAAATACTCCCCAGGCTGAAACATGGCAGCTGTACTACTGACATCACATTGTCTGTTTTGGTGTGCCACCAATTTAATTATTGTTTTGGATTTGTGGTGTCTTTCAGGTCACTCATATATGGTCATTGTAATAGCTGTGATTGAACCACAACTGTTCAGATGTCTGTGGAGTAATATTATTCCCCAGTAGCAGGAGCCTCCTTGTTTACTCCGATCTTTCCACCTGCTTCTAGGAACACTCTGTGTGTTAAAGACAGTATTATCCTGGAATCTGTTAAACCTGTACCCTATTAGAAGGTTGGGTAAAATGTGTGCCACAACTCAAAAAAAACCCCAACAAATCAGTCCATACCAAACAAACAAACAAAACCTCACGTGGCTCTGTCTCCATCTCTTTGGTGTCATGCAGCCAGGACAACCACAGCTGCTCCTGGTTCTGTAGGGAATAAGCCTCCTCCCCTTGGTCAATCGTAGATGGGTTTCCATAATGAAAAGATCTGAAATTCCCCAGAACATCTGGGGTGGTTTTGTGTGGGAGCTCTACAATGACTCATTTTTCCATCCAAATTATTCTTCCTCTTACTTGTGCCAGTTTCTCCCACTGTTTATCACCACCTCGCTGTGAGCAGCACATTCAGTTTACCATGTTTTGTGACATAATAATTAAATCTACTGCTGTCGTAGGTAGTGAAGCATCTAAAGCTTCCTCAAATCCTGAGCCTCAAATATTTTGCCTAGAACAGATGAATTAAAGTCATCTTCATGCTCTCACCCATAAAATTGGCAATGCACTGCAATAATGCAGGAACACTTGTCTCAAATTTCTCCTGAGTCTGCTCAGTTTTGATGCATAAACTTTACAAACCTCTGACAAGCTCAAAGTCCCTCTGAAGTCATCTTACACAAGCTGTGTTTCTTCCCATGACCTTCTTTCACTTATTTAGTGTTTCCATAAAGATCCCCTTCAATACTCCTGTCTTGGGGAGAATCTTTCTTAGGTATGTAACACAGCTGATATTTTTTTAGCAACACCTTGATGTCTTATAGTTAGTGGATACTTTGATCTTCCTTCCACTAATGTTGGTTGGAGCAGACATAAACTCTGAATATAGAAAAATTCCCATATAATTTTTGTGTTATTCTCTTCCCATGCAGAACTCATCTAACAGTAACAGAAAAGCACGAATAACCCTGGCAGGGGAATGCAAACTAAACTAAATAGAGGTGTTTTACCCATCAAGAGAAGCAGATTTTAAATTGTAGTCATGGTTTTCTGCAGTTTGGTATTTAAAAGATCTTTCAATTAACTTGTCATACCGCCATATGCTTTAGTTTGTGGAGTTACTCTGGAATTAACCTTATCTTCGAATGAAGTGTAGGAGAAGGGATTTTTCTCTTCTGTTTTATTGTCTGGTCATAGTCCCATACTTGGGAGTGTTGGGCATATTACTTTTTTAATGCCTTCCCCTCAGAAGTGTTTATAATTCTCTTTAAGAAATAATTTGCAATATTAAGATCAGAAGGGGCCCCAAGATCTCTCGGGTTGAATGCTTGCGAAGGAGAGAGAATGGTGATGGTGAGCTGTGCTCTGGGAAGGATTGCTCTTGTACCTTATCAGAAAGCACAAAATTAACAGGAGATCCTGCATTAGGAAACCAGTTCTGTCAAACAGCAATTGCAGAATTAGAGAGCAGAAGGAATGATATTGGATTCTACCTAAGAGAGATATTGTTGTCCAGGGACAATTACACTTAATTTTATAGTGGCAGTATCCCAGCTATCTCCTGGCAATACGTGCATGAAAGAAGAGACAGCTCCACCCCAAATAACTCCTTTTGCATTGTGATCATAGCTTTATCTACCCTTATTTTGCTCATTACATTTCCTGTCATAGAATGTTTTTGTTCTGATCTCTTTTTGTGGAGAGCCAGTTTTTCTAAAGATATTTCAAGATGTCAGTGGATGCTGGGTACTCTCCATGGTGCTTTGAAAAACCCACCACAGACTTTCCTGCGTGTAAAGGAAGACTAACAAGCCTTTGATATAATACCCTTTTACCTAGTTTACCTAGTTTAGGTCTATAATATATGCATCAAATTCTCTATTGACTGTTCAAATGTAAATCCAATGTATGATCATTTTTCAGAATAAAACCCCCCTCTTACTAAAGAGAAAAATATCTTTATAAATAAAGAGACAAATAAATGTAGGCATTCTTTATCTCAGTCTAGAGCTGATTCTCACAGAGCGATGGTTCACAAATTAGTGATGAAGCTGAAATACTGGCAGGGAGGAGGCAACGTGCTGAGAATAAAAACATGTTATTAAACTAAAAGCAATACTTTCAAGTGGCCTAGAAGGAAATGTAAGATCTCTTGCACAAAGTTAGTTTAATATCCTTACTTCTAAGGCAATAAACTAAAAATAAATAAGTGGGAGTGATACAAAAGTCTTACAGGGAATATGCAGTTAACTGAGTTGACAAACACAGGTAACATTTACCTTGTTGCCACCATATTTGGGAACCCATCTCAAGGAGAAACTCACTGACAAGAGTTTCATCCTTCCCCCAAACTCCGATCCACTGTCATGTTCTTTTGAAGTCCTTCTTCCAGAGCTGCTGGGGTGTCAGGGGTAAATAGTCACCTGATGACGATAAGATGATGAAAACTGCAGAAACTGTGAGACTTCTTGTTTATATGTCTCTTTTTATGGCTTGAAGCCATGCAGCCATAACCAGGTGGAGTAAGGCTGATACATCTTCTTACCTTTCCTCTTCCATTTCCCATTCTTGGTGTTTGTTAAGCTAATTCTTGCCTTCTGTCTTAATCCTACCGCCACTTTGGTGTGCTGTTTGCTTGTAAGGTAAATGGCATGAATAAAGGCAGCACTAAAATAGCATAATTAAGGACAGCAGAATCTGTCCAGCACACTGGCAATTCCTTTATGGGCTCTTTAATGAATTGCATTTCTAAGGCTGAACACAAAGGGGATGGCATGTGCATGAACTTGGTGTTAGTGTAATACATGTAATCAGGGAATAGTGTAATACATGAATCAGAAAGGGATTCAAGCTGCTTTTTGTTACTAACACACAATCCCACTCATTTTTTAGTGCAGTCTATGCTTTGCTGTGTTATCTTATGACTTTTGCTCAGGGGCAGTAGTCAGCAGCATGACTGGGTCACAGAATAGCGGTAGTTGCACTGCAAAGATAAATGAGTTCACAGCTGAATTAGCAGGCACATGAGAATAGGGACTGAAAGAGTTTCATACACACAAAACATCCACAAGAGATTGGCAATTACCAGCACTGGTTTGACACAGATGAACTATGATGAACTACCTAATGCAAATTCCAGCTGCTAGAAAAGACATATTTGGGACATAATTTGAAAGGGCTTAATACAACTTCTAGTTTTTAAAGAGTAGGTTGAAGCTTGTGAGTATCCAGTACCTGCCTAAATGAGGGGGTCTTGCACTCACCCTTCACTGTGAGGCATATGATGCTGGCTGCCAGCTCTAACAGGAGACTGTGCTAGACTGTGCCCAAGTCAGATATCCATTAGGGTAGTGTACAACAGGCTAAGGGACAAATGCTGCTCTGTCTGGTGAAAGAGAGATCCAGGGAATGTGCTCTGTTGCACACTCTGTCTCCCTCTTTAAACACACTTGCCAGGAGCAAAAACCCAGATATTCTTAATGAGATTTTATTATCTGGCCTCTAGACTCCATCTTAGCCACATCTATGATCAGCAGCAGGTTATGGGGTCTAGGGAGAAAAGGTATATTTCTTGACAGTCTCAGTAAATCACCAACCTAACATTGTTCTTGGCTGTCCTGAGATATCTTAGCTCTGCACCAAGACCAGGCTGCTCATATGCTCAGTTTCATTGCTCCTAAACACTCTGTGTCACGTATTTGCAGATATATTTCTTTGATGAGCTATGGAGGGATTTTACTGCAGGTGCAGAAATACAAACTAAAATTCCGAGCAGAACAACAAACCAGGGTGATGGACTTAGGAACAAGCAGCCTGGCAGTGTTGAGCACACACAGATGAGCTAGCTGGCTCATCTGATTGAGCAGTACTTTCATTTCAGAGAGGGGGAGTGAGCTGCTACTAGCATTTTATATATAGTATTGCTGGACAAAGCAAAGCTGTCTGATTTACATATCCCCTGTCCTGTGCGTACACACTCTCAGGGCTAGACAGCTTGGAGGGGGAGGTAAGGATGGTAGATGGGATTCCAGTGACAGCACAAGTCTCCTAAATATAGACTTTTTGTTCTCTGGTACCTTGCATCCAGAATTGTATCAGCAGTCATCTTAAAGAGGGAAAGGTAACTAGCTCAAGAACTAATTCTACCCATTTTTTATGGTACATCCTGTCTTTAATGCAATATCCAGTAAACATTTCTTATTTGCTGTTTTATGAGTCCAGTTCTTTCCAGCTTCAGCTATTGGAATTTAAGCCAGTAAAAAGAAGTAATCAAGCTAAGCTGGTCTCTATCTATTGCATTTTTATGATGTAGGCTTTTATATTAGTAGGTTGTGAGGAATTGCTCGTGGACTGAATTAATTTCTTGAGACTTTGCCAGCTCAGCCAGAATCTATAAGACATGATCCATTTGTGCTTGTGCTGGTGAAAATGTTATTGCTTCCATAATATCATTCTACCTAAGAAAATGCTGCACAAGTACAAATTGC